TGGAGTCCTGGTGTGATGCTGTAAGATAAGCATTGTACTGCTAACCACAAGGTCGGAGGTTCAAACCCACCAGCTGCTCCTTGGAAACCCTATACAAGGTCACTCTGAGTCTATGGCACTTAACAATAAAAACAACAATATTTAAATGTAGCATAGAGACCATGATCTCAAATTAGGGTTTTGACCTAAGAACACGTTAACAGGAATGAAGATTAAACACCGTTTCTAAAACACAGCTGACCCACGAGCTGGATTTAAGTGAGAAACAGTGACGCGTGTCCAACTGAGAGGGGCTCAGCTATGAGAACTAGTGCAAACAGAATGCGGTATGGCAGACGATAAGGTTGCTGACTAATTTCTCCTCTTCTTCCCTCCTTACGTAGTGGACAAACACCAGTTTTGTTCAGGGCCATAACATACACAACTTAAAAAAAAAAAAAAACGTCTAGCATCCCTTACAACCTGGGGCAGTCACATGACTGTTCTGCAACTAAGACATGAGCGATGTCACTAGATAGAGCTTCAGGAAGATCTGCCACTGCTCATCCCTTTGTGTGGGAGTCCCTTCTTCTGCCTGGACACAGAAAGTGGAACTGTCACTTTGTACGGACACACTGAGGTCTTAGTACAAAAAAGAACACCATGCACTAAGAATGGCTGAACAGACAGCAGCAGGAGCCGGGTCCTGAAGGCACCAAAGAACCCCACAGTCCTGAACTGCTGACTTCTCCTATGAGAGAAAACTCAAACTGCCGTTGAGTTAAGTACACTGTCCGCTGGGGTTTTCTTTGGGTGCAGCAGAACCTACTCTTACCTGATATCCGTTGTAATAAACCATTCATTTGCTTTGCCAAAGCCCTTATGGAATGATTCCACTGGCAAGGTGTCAGGAACGATGAATTCATGTGATTTACAAATAACTTTCCAGAAACCTGGCTGACATAAAAAGGTGTACATACTGAAAAACTCTCTCCTATGAACGTACACTGATAACTCAAATCTGAGTGTGTTCTAGGAGGGGCCTAGAAAGATGGAGTGGAACCGCCTGGGGCCAAACCCTGCTCTGCAACTTCCCAGCTGTGTGAAATTGATCAAGGTACTTAACCTTCCTGTGCATCCCTTTCCTCAACTTCAAAAGGCAGCTGTGCACATGACACGAACTTGTACTGTCCGATGTGATGCTTAGACCTGTGTCAGACACATTGCTAACATTTACTGAGCATCTACGCCTACGATGCTAAAACTGGCAACGAAAACTGATAATAAAAGCCAGAAGCATTCACTTGCTCTTTAAGAGTGAACTTGGGTCCTAATGCAAGTATCTAATAATGTTGGCATTAAAGTAAGCTGTAGATTCCTACCAAGTTTATAATGTTTCAAAGCTAATGCTTCCTGCCCAGAAGCCATACCCATACTCACACAACACCAAGGGTAGCAAACTCTCTGTGAAGTGGTGCTTATCAGTAGGGAGTATTTATAAAACAGGGGCTGGGTAGCAAGAGTAGCAGAGACAACTAAAAATAACCAGATGAGCAAACAAAGTTTTCATAAACCGAGAGTTTGTTAAAAAGTCAGTACTTTAACATCATTACTAAGAAATATTCACATAATGCACTTCGTTGTGCTATTGTGGAGAAATAGAGCCTCTGAGTCTGTCAGTTGGCCACACATTTCCTCATTTTAGATTCAAACACAGAAAGCAGCCAGGACATTCTAGGAAGCTGTATTTCAGAGTCCAAAAGGGCACACAGAAGCATGTGGTATGAAGTTCCCGACTGTCAGCCACAGGTATGTAACCTAATCAGTGTCCATGCTTCGGCCACTGAGGTAGTGAGCCACCCCTAACTGCTCTGTCAGGTCATTAGGAAAAACTTTCTTGATGAAAGCCATCTCACCTAAAACCACCAGGGCAAGGGAATTGGATGCCAAAAACACACTTTACTGTGTCCTTCCTTTCAGATGCTAAACAAGTGTAACAGGATGTGAATTTACACTTCTCCTCTTCAAACCCCAAGAAGGGTGAAAAAAAAAAAAAAAAAACCCACACACAAACATTAAGGGTATGAAATCTCACTCCATAATCTTGATGTGTGCAGGCAGGTTACCATTTTCTGCTGGTGCATTATCAAGAAGACTTACAGTGGCTTTAGGAAGTCAAAGTGGTAAGATTTAACCGTCTCTACTTGGTGTCACCATGGGTTAAGCATCCAGCTGCTAACCAAAAAGCAGGTGGTTCAAACCGCCAAGCCATGCTAAGGGAGATAGATGAAGCTGTCTGCTCCCATCGAGATTTACAATCCTCTAGAACCATTGCATTCTATCCCATAGGGTCACCAGGAGCTGGAATTCACTCCACGGCAGTAGGGTGGGTTTGTTTTGTGGTTCTACTCTACTATCCATCAGACAAGTTAATTCCTTAACTGCCATCAGAAAAGTCAGTAGTTCAAACCTACCAGCCGCTCTGAAGGAGAAAGATGTGGCCGTCTGTTTCCATAAAAATTTACAGCCTTGGAAACCCTCTGGGGGCAATGTTACTCTATCCTACAGGGTCGCTGTGGGCCGGAACCAACTCAACGGTACTGAACAACAACAACCATAGGGTCCTGCAGAGTCCTGGTGCGACAGTGTAAGCTAAACAAAAGAATGACAGTTTAAACCCACCAGCTGCTCCTTAGAAACTGTATACAGGGTCACTATGAGGCAGATCTGACTGGACAGCCCACAACATTAAGGATTCTATGGAATCTTGGAGTAGCACTGGACTGCTAATCCACAAGGTCAGCAGTTCAAACCCACTGATCGCACCTCAGAAACCCTATACAGGTTCATTATAAGTCAGAACCAACTCATCAGCCCTTAGCAACAACAACAGGGTCACTATGAGTTGGAATAAACTCAAAGGCAATGATTGTGTCGGGTGTAATTTTAAATGTTCTGTTGTTGTTGCTAAATCATGTTGAGTTGGTTCTGACTCATAGTAACCCCGCATAGAATTTCCAAGGAGTTGCTGGTGGGTTTGAACTGCTGACCTTGTGGTCAGCAGTCCAGTGCTAATCCAAAAGCACCATACCAAGATTTCCTTAAATTTTATAGCCACCACAATTGAAAATGTAAAAATAAACTGGTGAAGTTAATTTTAGGAATATATTTAAACTCATTATATCCAAATATTCAAAAATATTATTTCAACATGTTGCTGTTATTTGCCGTCAAGTCAGTTCTGACTTACAGTGACCCTGTATAGGGGTTCCAAGGAAGAGCTCGTGGGTTTGAATTGTCAAATATATTATTAAAAAAAACTATTAATAAGACCACTCTAGAGGTTAAAAACAGCTGAAAGCTTATCAGTTTCCTAAGCTGCCTCTATGGTCACTCAGTCTCAGTCTCAGGGACAATCAAGCTGCTGGACAGGGGATTTAGTAGGATCTGGATGGGGGTACACAGCCCATTGCTTAGCAGAGTATTTGGTGGTAGTGGTGCGCCATGGAATCGGTTCTGACTCACAGCCATCCTATATAGGGTTTCCAAGGCTATAAATCTTTATGGGAGCAGAAAGCCTCATCTTTCTCCCACAGAATGGCTGGTAGTTTCCAACTGCTGACCTTGAGGTTAGCAGCCCAACTCTTAACCACTACGCTCCCAGAGCTCCTTAATTTCAGCAGGGTACTTACAGCTTTCAAATAAGGTTTTATACCTCCTACTAACAACACTGGCTGCTCTTTACCCAGTCAAACCTAATCACTCCTTTATATGTTTTGTTTTGTTTTGTTTTATCTTGATTTTATATGAGAGTCTGTGAAAGTAGACCTCAGACCCATCTCTAGTCAGGAGAGCTCAGGAATCAGACATGCCCTCGGACACACCCCACCCCTGTGCCACACAGAACACCCCATCCAATGTGATCCACGGAGATGATATGAGGATGATACATGTTCACTGGGCCATGGCCATGGGACAGGCGATGGTTAAATGGCCGGATCTTACCAGCGTTACCTACCTCACAGGCTCACTGTGATGATAAAATGCATTAACAGAGAGCAGGCTTAGCAAACCGTAAAGCGCTACACAATTCTAGTTATTATAATTGAGAAAGGACACCATTCCTCACCTAGAAGAGCAGATAGAAGAAAGAAAACAACAGTAACTTGACACAGAACAATGTTGAATTCGAGGGAGGGGGAACCCACGAAAATGGACTTTGTTCTCTTCAGAAGAAGAGTACAAAGAAGTTTGAGGGCCTCAGATTCTGGGGAGATGCTCAAAAGTAAGCGAGGCAGCTAAGAGTACAAGTTTCTACCCCGGCTATTACCACCCATCCTGCTCTCCCTCGTTCCCAAAATATTTCAAAAAACAGTGGCTCAAATCAGTTCAAGCTCTCTTCCCAAGTCTTAAATGTGGGTTAGAACTGTTACTCTCGCCAGGGGTTACTGACACTTTCCCCAAGCAAAAGTCTCAGAGTCCGGGGACTCCGAGCTCAAGCGTTCTCACCCGCGCAAGCGCCACAACGTTAGCTCTTGGGCTGCCCTCTCGCCATCTCCAACAAAAACAGAAAGGCTCTCTGCAGCGGGCCGCTGGCATCTTTACCTGTCCAACCGCCCCGTCATGCCCGAGCACTGCTCCGGGCAGCCGGCATTTACGAGGTCCGGCAGGAGCCACCCGCACAAAGGCGCCTTGTGCCTCTGCGCTCAGGGACGGGACGCTGGGGTGCTGGGCACCGCACCCGGACCGGGTGAGGAAGGCGCCATCCTCCAGCATCCCCACCCCTCATGTTCCAGAAAAATGGGGCCCCTTGTCTCCGTTTTCAAGACGGGACTCCTTCGCCTTGCCCCAGTCTGTGCCCGGAGAAGAACAGCTCGGAGCTGGCGAAAGAGTGGGGGCGCACAGGCCACGCGGAAGAAGTTTGCGCAGTCAACGCGCTAAGCTTTCCAGTATCCAGACCTTGGGCGGAGCTGAGCACGGTTCCCCATTCCCCCCGCTGCCCCCTCCTCCGGCCTGCTCACCTCTAGTCCAGTCCACCACTTGTTTGGGGCTCCACTTGGTCACGGGCTCCATGATAAATGGTTGTGCTCCAGCCGGGCTAGAGCGTCGGCGTAAAGTCCTGGAGCCTGCTCTCCGAGTCCCTTTGGCTGGTCCCCTGCGCGCCGGAGCCCCCAATTAAGATTGCATGGAGCGGTCAATAGGTCAGTCCAGCGCGTCTCCGCGACACTCGGGACAGCTGTGCGGCTCCTCCTCCTTCAGCTCCCCGCGGCGCCTCCGGGAGCCCGAGCACAGCTGCTGCTCTAGGCGGCGGCGACCCCAGACCCTCCGGCCTGGGTGCGAGATCAATCCCCCTTCTCCCGCCGAGTTGCCTCTCTACCCAGGAATGTTTCCTCGGCTCCCCTCTGTGCGGCGCTCTCCCGGTGCTGCGTGCGCCCGGGTCCCGAGCTTCCCAGCCGGCCTTCCCAGAGCCGCGCTCCGGGCTGCACTGGGGGACGAGTGCGTAAGGGTTACGAGTCTCAGCTGCCGGCGCTGCGACCGAATAAGAGAGGGGCGGGATGCGCGGCGCGAGACTCGCGGGGACCGGGGCGCAGGCTCCTCCTCCCGCCGCGCGCGTCCCCGGGGAGGCCCGCCGCGCGCACCCGGGGAGGCCTGCGCCCCGTTCCAAGAGGCGGAGCGGAGCGGGGCGGAGCGAGAATGGGCGGGGTGGGGTTAGGCAGGCGGTCTGGGAGCCTGCGTGCTGGGGGCACCCACCGGCGGGTGGTCGTAGCTCTGTCTGCCTGATTGTAAGCAACTAGACAAGACACAAGAAGAAAGTACGAGAAGGATCTGTATGTTCCGTTCCCTCTGAGCGCTTTTTAAAAACTTACAAAACACGGTGGTGTTCTGTGAGTAAGGCCTCCTCTTTGTAACCTTCTGAATGCAAAATCCTAAAAAAGCAAGCCCAGCAACACCAAGTCGATTCTGACAAAATGCACAGTATAGGACACAGTGGAAGCGCTCCATAGCATTCCTTCCCGAGGCCGCAAGATATATCAGACAGACAGATCTTTCTCCTGCAGAACCACTGGAGGGTTTGAACTACCGGCCTTGCGAAATAGCTCTGTGTTATTTGCATGACGGGGCTTCACAAAGTTCATGTGAAAATTCCTTTTTCTTTTCCTTCCTTACTTCCACAAACTTGTTGAAGCCTCCTTCTGCTTGGGATGAACAAGTGTTCATTTAACTCGCTTCTTTGTAACGCTTCTTCATGATGCTTCAACTTCGTCCCTGAAGTGAACCCCAATACACTGGAAAATGGTAACTCTTAGAGTTCTGTACTCGTATCGCCGGATCGTAATAGTCAGATTTGTGAAGTGAGAGAAGGGTGCTCCTTTGTATTAGTCATGAATCATCAGGAGAGAGTTGTTAGCCCGCCAAAAAAGAAAAGAATGAAAGGCGTGGGCACGATTTCAGCAGCTGATCTGGGCACGGCCCTCCATCCAAGCTCACAGGGCTCCAAGTGGGGCCAAGGTGAACCCTGAATTGGGGGAAATCCTAAACTCCAGCATCTGCCCCTCCACTGACAAGCCTCCTCTGAGTGCCCTTCTGGGCCCAGTAAACTGTACTCCTACCCATGCTTATATTTTCTGACGTTTAATAATTCCCACTGTCAATTACGTTATTTGTTTACACCTTCTCCCCGAAAACTGTTAACCCCTTGAGTGCAGAAGCTACCTGAGATAGGCATTTTGACTCCCCTTCCAAACGCTTATCTCATTGCATCCAACAGAGTGTGGAAGTATGGTCTATATCTATTCATTCTATAAATATCTGTTCATGAAGGCCTCATATGTGCCAGCCACTGTATTTGTTAAATACAGGCATAACCCAGAACCAGACTCGCTGCCATGGAGTCTTGGAGTCAGTTCCAACTTTGAGCAGTCCTATAGGGCAATACAGAGTTTCCAAGGCTGTAAATCTTTTGGAAAGCACACTGGCTTATCTAACCCCCTCTGCCCCAGCCCAGCTGCTGGTGGGTTCAAATAGACAACTTTAGGTTCGCAGCACAATGCTTAACCCACTGTGACACCAGGCATGCCTCGTTTTATTGGCATTCACAGATATATT